GCCACTCACTGCTAATTTTTTGAACCATGAGATCACCTTTTGTCACAAGTTCTCGAACAAAGAAGTGCCTGATGAGAATATGTTTTGTTCTCTTGTGAAACTCAGGATTTTCCGCTAGTCTCACCGCGGCTTCATTGTCCACTTGTAATACAGGAGGATACTGTATTTCAGTAAGTTCGCTTAGTATCCTAGTTAGCCAAATGCATTCTCGAGCTGCTTCACTGGCCGCAACTATTTCTGCTTCAGTGGTTGAAATTGCAACACTTGCTTGTCTTTGACTCATCCAAGATACAGCACCACCAGCAAACATACACAGTACTCCAGAAGTTGACCTTCCAGTACCAACGTCTCCTCCATGGTCAGCATCACTATAACACTCTATGATGCCCTTTTTATAGTCCTTTTGATACAAAATACCCATATCTTGCGTATGTTGTAGATAACGCAGAATTCGTTTCAGCTTTACACAATCGTCTTCAGTTGGATTTTCCAAATTTCTTGAGACGACACTAACAGCAAATGCAATGTCAGGTCTCGTTCCAACCATGAGATATGCTAAGGCTCCAACAATATGTCTATAGTTCAACAACATATTACTCATGTCGACCTTATCCCGGTTTTGAGACATGTCTCTAACAATTGGTGTATGCACCGGTCTGCAGCTGTCCATCCCAAACCGTCGAAGAACTTTGTTCACATAACACTTCTGATGAATTTTTATGCCGTCTTCTCTGGTTATTATCTCTATACCGAGAAAGTAGGATACAGACTTCGTTGTGATTTTAAATTTTCCCATTAAATCTTTTAGGAAACTTTCGATCAGTTTCTGATTAGACGCAGCTACCAAACCATCATCCACATAAAGAGCCACAATGAGCTTCTCGCTAGACTCCTTTCTTGTGAAAAGGCATGGATCAGCATCAGATACTTTCAAACCGATTTCCTTGAAAAAATCTAATATACGCTTGTTCCAGCACCGAGGTGCCTGCTTCAAACCGTAAAGACTTTTCTTCAGTAAACAAACTTTACCAGAGTTATCTTCATAACCTTCCGGCTGTCGCATATAGGTTTCTTCATCAAGATCGCCATACAGAAAAGCAGTAGATACATCAAATTGCGCCATATGCATCTGTTCATTAGCGGCAACAGCTAATACACTTCTAATGGTCGCCATTCTTGCTACAGGACTGAATGTTTGATAATAGTCCACGCCTTTCTTCTGACTATATCCCTTAATAACAAGCCTAGCCTTGTATTTGTCGACATTCCCGTCAGCATTTAATTTGACCTTGAAAACCCACTTGCAGGGTATGACTTTCCGACCTTTCGGGAGATCTACCAACACCCAAGTTTTATTTTCCTTCAGAGAATTAATTTCCTTATCCATTGCCATTCTCCAAAGTTTACTTTCAGCACTTCTCACAGCTTCCTTGTAGCTATTAGGTTCCAGTTGATTACCAGTGCTCTCTCCATTTATATTATATAGAATAAAATCATTGAATTTCTGTGGTAGACGAAGCGATGACCTATCTCTAAGAATACGACTACTTTCCTCTATAATCTCATGTTCATCCATAGTTTCGTGAAGCTCGGCTTCGTCGTTTCCTTCTAATACCCCCCCACATTCAATATTTTGTTCTAGCGTATTACTTCTTGCATCATCAAATATATCTTCATTAATAACAGAAGTGTCTTCTCTATCAATAAACTCATCATTGTTTACAAGACCTTCAACTTCATCATTATCAATTACAATATTCTGAGCATCAGAAGATTCTACATGAGGTAATTTTTCATCATTCCTCTGTTGAGTTATCTTTTGTAATGCCAAAGGTTGCAACTCAATTACATTGCTAGGAAATTCTGCTTGCATGGGTTCAGACACCTTCAGTGATTCACCTCTAAGCAGAGACATATCATCAAATGTCACATCTCTTGACCTTACTAAACCAGTAGAACCATTCCAGAGACGATATCCATCATCATTATCATATCCTATGAAAATACATTTCATAGCTTTCTTATGTAATTTTTTCCGAGTCTGTTTAGGTACGTGAGCATAACATGATGACCCAATGATCCTCATGTGTTTAATCCTTGGCTTTATACCAGTCCAAAGTTCTGAGGGTGACTTGTGTTCCACTGACGTTGGCCCTGTCCTGTTTAAAATATATACAGCAGTATTCACCAATTCAGCCCACAAAGTTTCAGGTAACCTTTCATGTGCATGCATCATAGCTCTAGCACATTCCACGATCGTTCTGTTATCTCTTTCGCTATTTCCGTTTTGTTCCGGTGTATACGGCATCGTCAGTCTTTGCTTTAGTCCATTTTCCACCAATATTTTCCGTACTTGTGCATTGTCGAATTCACCACCATTGTCACTCAATAGTTCCTTAACAACATGACCAGCTACTTTAGCTTCAACTAGAAACTGTTTCAATTTCTCGTGTACTTCCGACTTATTCCGAAGAAAATACACAAAACGATGACGTGTATATTCGTCTTTGAAAAGTACAAAATATCGTAATTTGGAATAACTAGATGGAAAGGGCCCACAAACATCCGAATGTATGCGTTCTCCAGGTTTCGTAGCTTTATCTCGTACACCAAACTTTTGTCTGTGAGATTTTCCAAAGATACAACCTTCGCATAATTCTTCACTATCTTTTGTTTTTATTCCCAACTCTCTATCTATCAGACTTCTTATATGTCTTTTATTTTGATGACCAAAACGTTCGTGATAAAGTTGCAATATATCAACTTTCTGTACCAAATTTACTAACATATTCATAGGCGGTACGACTCTACAATTCAGCTTGTATAATCCTCCATACCTCTCCCTATTTCCTGTCACAGTAATCATTCCTCCTATTTTCATAGTACAAGTAGTGACCCGTGATTCAAACACGCTACCTGGATTCCTATCTTGCGTCGATAATACAGAAAACAGATTTCTACTTATCTGAGGAACATACCAAACATCTCTCAAAGTCGATCTCACAGTATGTCCATTAACATGGGCCTCAATACAAACTGATCCTTTGCCTACTGCCTTGAGCACATTTTTGTCCGCCGTAGTTACAGTGTGACCTTCACTGAAGTATTCGAAATCTTGAAAGATATCATTTCGCATTGTAACATGATTCGTAGCCCCATTATCTACATTCCAATGGTCACGATCTGCAATACTACTTTCAGCCGAATTCACAGTCAGTAACATCATGTTAATTCATTTACTACTGCCATCTTTTCGAGAAACTACTTTCTTAGGACAGTCTTTCTTAAGGTGACCAACCTCTTTACAACCAAAGCATTTAAACTTTTTGCTACTGTCCTTGTTATTACTGCCTTTGTCTTCACACTTACTAGGTTTCTTCTTGACTCCTTTGACAGCAAAGGTCTCACAACTAGATTCACTGTCTACATTGTTACCGAGTGCCTTTTCATGCGCACACAGCTGACTTGTGATATTCTCTATATTCCTATCCTTCTTAGACATTAACAACCAACTTGACTTGAATGAAAAATATGTTTCAGGTAAAGTATCCAAGATTTTACAAATTAATAGAACTTCAGGTAAATCCTTACCTTCCTCTTCTTTCATTAATTCTTGCTTGAGCTTATACCACAGATTTTTCAACTTCGAGATATGTGAAGCCATGTCGTCAACAGGATTTTTCTTATATCTGAAAAATTCTAAACACAAATCATACAGGCGGTCCTCACATACACCTTCGTACAGGCGATGTAATTCATCCCATATTTCCTTTGCGGTCGTTAACCTTAGAATTTTATCCAGGATATTATCAGAGATATTATTAGTTATTACAAGTACAGCTATACTATCCAACTTAGTGTAGCTTCGTAAGTCCTCTTCGTACTTAGCCGTAGCTGCTGAATCCCCAGCACTACTATCTGGCACTTCCGGTTTTTTAATTGATCCATTTATTACATCCGTTATACCGTCTATTCCCCTTAATAGTGCTGACATGCGATACTTCCAATGTATCCAATTTTCACCTTCTAATTTATTAATTTGAAATTTCGACAAATCCATTTTGAAGTTTGGTACTGGGCCCATAACCTAATATAGGAAATTGGTAGTAGCACTCACCAGTATTAAGCAACGCCGGGATCAGGATCAGTGTTAAGGAAAACCAGGACTAGGATTTTGGATACCTACACTAGTTAATATTAGTCAGTTAGCAAGTTCAGTCAATGTTCATAGTATATAAGACAAAAAGGTAATCTGTCATAAAACAAATATTTTTTATTTTATTATTTTACATACATTGACAAGCGCTGCTAGAATGCATATCGCCTGCCATTGAACCAAGGAGGTTCTTAACAATTACATCTTGATAAAAGATCAACTAGTGTTTTGATTCGTATGCGAATTGGTCATGTTTGCAGCCCTGAACATTTAACAAAACTACGTATAAAAGACAATAATATTTGTGAATGTGGAGATGTGGGTGATCTAAATCATATTGTGTTTTCCTGCTCCTCTTACGATCGTTCTCCATTTATAGAGACACTCATCTTATTAGAAATTCCTTTTCCTTCATCCATTGTATGCCTATTAGCTCATCCTAGTCCTATAATTTATAAATTTGCGTCTTTTATTTCCCATAATAACATTAAACTTTAAAACCCATGATCACTAATTCCGAGTATATTCAAAATTTAACCCGTTCCTTTCCATTATCCCGTCTCGTTTCCTGTTTTTAGTGGCATAATAGGCAACACTAGCCGTATTCCCCGCCGCGTTCAAGATTTGCTATCTCACTTTGCATATTTTATTTTCCAATATAAAACTACATTGTACATACTGTGGAAAAAAATTAATATTAATGAATTATTACTAAAATTGTACTGTCTAAGCTTATATATAATAGTTTATTTTTTGTTTTAATTTTTATGTTTTGTATTCAATTCATTATAAAAATGTATTCGACTGAAGGACCTGTATCCATGGTCATGAATAAAGCATTATTAAAAAAAAACTAAAGAAAAAAAAATACCAATAGATAAAATATAATTTTTATTGCAGTGTAAATAGAAATTAACTTATTTTGATGAATATTAAAAGGAAAGTAAAATTAATCCAAAGTAACGGACAGAGAATTATGAAATAATATGTACTTTTACTTGGGTAATATGATTTACAATGAAATAATTTGGAGACAATACTTTATTCGTCATGTTAAATATTTATGGTTTATATAATTACTCATGAATTACATTAACTACTATTATATAGATTATATGATTTATAAACAATATGTAAATTACCTTTATATTGCCTCATGATTGCTCAGCAAATTGTGATATGGCGTGTATTTTTCGAAGGATATGTTATAAGTATGCTAAATGTCTGATGGTAGTTGTTTTTGTCGCATTTTTCGTCCAAATATTATTAGCAGTAAGCTATTTTCCTTCTGAAAATGATGATTTACTGAACAAAAAAGGACATATATCATTGGAAAGGCAACAAATAGATTCTTTGCTGGATAGAAAAGTTGATAAATTAATAAATAATGAAAATATACTTGCAAAATCAAAAGTTGCTACAGAAAAACAACATGCTTCATTGAGGATAGAAGAATTAAACTTTAAACCTATATGTGAAGTTAAGAGTCGAGAAGCAATATCTGCCATCCACCGTGCTAAAACACAAAATTGTAAAGAACAAATTATTAATAAAACTTGCCTCATTCAGGATGGTAATTTTTATCCAAAAATATTAACAAACAAATGTGTCAGTCAGCAAATGATGTATGGACGACATTTGGGATGTTATCAAGATGAAAAGAAACTAAGAATTCTATCCAGTTTTTATGGCAACTATGTGAACTCTAATTCCCCATACTCATGTTTGGATATTTGCTTGCAAGCAGGCTTTCCATATGCAGGAGTTCAATATGGGTGTGTATAATAGCTTTTTCTAAGTACTGGACATGTTTTGAAGTTAAAAGTGGTAATTACTATAAATAAAGTAAATTTTATACTAGATATACTAGAGGTTGTTTCCTCCAAATTTGATTTATATGTTCTACTGGTTGTAATTGCGATAGACCAGTATTTTTATCCAAACAGAAACAGAGATAATCTTAAAGAAATTCTCATAAATATGAATATGCATAATGTTTAATCCCAGTTTATTTTTGATAACACCAATGGAATACCACAAAATTCTCTTTGCTATGTAAGGTAGCCAACTCTAAAATCTTCATTTCAGATTTCTATGTTCACTCAAAAACTCTTTTTTTTCTGAAAGGGATCATTTTAGAACATGACTGATCAATAAACCAACTATGTTATTATTAATTTCAGATCAGAGTGTTTTTGTGGTGACAACCCACCACCCTCTGCAGCAAAAGTAGCTGATAATTTGTGTAACATGAAATGCCCAGGAGATCAAAGTAAAGTTTGTGGTGGTTACTTCACAATGAACATATATGAAACGGGATTAAAAAGTTTGTAATTTATTTTAGGAAATTTGATAAATATAATAGCTAGTTTACATTGGCATAATTAGGTAGAAGTTTGATAACACTACCTATACATAAAATAAATTTAAACTAGTGAGTAATAGCAATGCAAAACAAAAAGAATATTACCACATTTATATGACTTCCACACATACTGCATGTTGATTGTGAAGTGGATGAGAGCAGTGGTGTACATATTTGTATGTGTAATTAGAAAATCATAAGATCTTACCAGATTTTATATTTTATATTTCTTAAAAAAAATTATAGTTGCTCTAAATGGGTGTTAAAAAACTATGAGTGATCCATTTAGTTTTTTTTTTTAAATATTATTCAAAGTGTGAAAAAGTTTCTAATAAAAAGAACAACAAAAATTTTATGGAAAACCATAAAGCTCCTTACTTTTAAAACAAGCAAAATTTTAATTTTTATTTACCAGGGTCTAGGAAGCAATTATTAAACCTCATGTTATTCTAAATATATTCTGGCTGTAGACTCTGTAACTGCAATTTCTTAAAAGAGATGAAGAAACTTTCATAAGAAAGTATATCTGTTTAATATATGTAGAAACATAGTCATTTCCATCTACCTCATTGCAATAGGCAGGCCTTGCATATTTTACTGCAGTAAAAGTAGTCTAGCTCCATATCCCTAATATCTGTGTCATAAATTTCATGAGTTCTACTTTTTTATTAAATTTAAAAACAGCAATTAACAGAAATAGTGTCTACTATGATGACTGTATTATTTATTTCAGAATTTGAGCCCAAAACACCACAAATTACAGAAAACATAAATAAATCAGTGAGAATAGTTTATCTACTAACGCTAAATGGACGTGCGTTACGCCAAGTGCATCGCTTGATAAACGCACTTTATCGAAGCAATCATTATTTTTATATACATGTTGATTCTGTAAGTTCATTTGAAATATGCTCTCTACTATAAAACATCAGCCATTTGTTTCCTTACTACTAAATTCCTGATAGGAACTATAATTAATTTTAAACTTATAGAAAATGGTACTGCATACTGATAATAATAGTAACCCTGAACAATTCACACAGCTCCATCTAGTCCCAAGCTAAGCTTGTTATAGGTACTAAACATTGAATACAAATATTAACATACATATTTTTTAAATATAATTATATATATAGAAAACACTGAGATGAAACAAACTGTCATACTCATGAATACAAAGGTTTGTACCGTGCGAGAAATTGAATCCTCTACCATCAGAACTATAGGGGGTCTGCTAACACTCTAGACCACCGAAGCTGTGAATGCTGAAAATCTTTGAACCAACTAAAACTAACATTATGATTGTATTCTTTCAGCGGCAAGATTATTTGCATAGGAAATTAATGTCATTAGAGAAAACACTTCCAAATGTAAAATTAGCAGTCACGCGGTATTCTACGATTTGGGGAGGAGCATCTTTACTTAAAATGCTTCTTACAGCCATGAAAGACCTTTTTCGACTGGAATGGGAATGGGACTTCGTTATAAATCTGAGCGAAAGTGACTTTCCTATAAAATCTATAGAAAATTTAGAGAATTTTTTATCTGCAAATAAAGGATTTAATTTCGTGAAATCTCATGGACGTGAAGTACAAAGATTTATAAAAAAACAAGGACTTGACAAAACTTTTATTGAATGTGAAACCCACATGTGGCGTGTAGGTGAAAGGAAATTACCACGAGGAATCGTGATAGATGGTGGAAGTGATTGGATTGCATTGTCCCCTGACTTTGTTTCGTATGTCACTGGGGATCGTGATGAATTATTGGCTGGATTGGATGTTATATTTCAACATACGCTATTACCTGCCGAGTCATTTTTTCATACGGTTTTACGAAATTCTAAGTTTTGTAATACTTATGTGGACAATAATCTGCATGTAACTAATTGGAAAAGAAAACTGGGCTGTAAATGTCAATATAAACATGTTGTAGATTGGTGTGGTTGTTCACCTAACGATTTCAGGACCGAAGACTGGCCAAGAATACAAAACACTCAAGACCGACAATTATTTTTCGCTAGGAAATTTGAACCCATAATTAATCAACAGATTATTACAAGAGTTGAAGAATATATAGGTTTTACTGATCATCACTTATTAAACAACCTAGAAGCTTATTGGCAAAGTATATATCATATTGATGATTTGCCTTCAAGTTCAGATGATATGATACTAACACATGCAGATAGCATTACACGTGAAAACTCAAAAATTTTGTTTACAGAGGGATGTTCTCTTGTTCCATATGATATTGTTGAAATTACTTCATATAATTATGCAGATGTATATAAGGGAAATTTGATACTTCACAAAGCTGTACTAAATAAGGACCATGAAATATTAATAGAAACTTGGTATAAACCAAAAAAGCATCTAGAATTAAATTTTCAAAATCATTTCGTAGATAATGTTAAGATATTCAAAGTCAGTACAGATTACGATCAAAAGGAAATGACTTTTAGAAATTTAGCCAACATATTAGGACCATTATCGGAACCCATCTTATTATATCAGTTTGCACCAATTGCCGAGAAGAAAATAGAAAATTTTACTATAATGTGGCTAGATCCGGCAGGTATCATAGCCGATGTAAATAGCATATATTTAGATGAAAATAATCTAACAAACTTTATAAAGCCTAACTTAAAAGTCCCTCTTCTGCCAGGCGTTTGGAAAGTGGGTTTATTTGAACAATTGAACTTGATAGCCATAACTAAGTTTTTAATTACACCTTTAGAATCTTTCTCTGGTAAAGAACTAACTCATCAAGAAGCAAATATTATTCACAGTGGATCACAACATGCCTATAAAGATTTTTCTTATGTGAAACCTTTTAATTTTTTGCCTGATGAAGATGAAAGTTTATTATTGCAAAAAATTTCTCATTCAAATGTCAACAGAGTAAATCAAGATTTAAAGGAATGGATAGACAGTCTTAATGCTGATTTTTATAGTATATTAGGGTCATGTGTTTCTTTTACTAGTCAAAAAAATAAAGACAGAATAGAATGCGGAAATCATATATTTGAATATTGTACTCAGACCGAGTGGAGTTCTCTGTCACCGGATCCTAAGGGATCGATAGGTATTTTAAATACAAAATCAGGAAGACTGGATAGAACGTGACAATTGTTATAGGTATTTTAGCCATCACTGATGCAAACTCTAATAAATGTGTATAATATACTTATGTATATGTATGAATTTAAGAAGAATACTAATTTTATAGAACAGAGTAAAAAAATATTTTTAACTTGTTTGTTCTTATTTTCAAAGATACCAAAAAATAGAACATTTATTCACTCGCTTCATCGTAGGGCGTCGGTCCATCGTAGGGCGCCCGACACTCCGTCGACCCATACGCGGCCTGCACTCCATAACCTTTTTTCCCTTCTTACATCGCTGACTCTGCTGATATGCCCGGCCTACTGCCACTTCAGCTGACATACTTTGAGAGCTATGTCACTTTGGTCCTCCGTCGAATTTCCTCGTTTCGGACCATGTCCCTTAGAGAAACTCCGAGCATAGCTCTCTCCATCGGCCGCTGTGCGACTTTTAATTTATGAAGTACGGTTAGTGTCCATGTTTCTGCACCGTAAGTCATTACAAGGAGAATGTATTTGTTAAAGATTTTTGTCTTCAAACATTGAGGGATTTGTGCCGTGAATATGTGACGGAATTTTCCGTACGCAGCCCAGCTCAGCCCAATGCGTCGACCTCATTGTTGACATTTTCCCGCGTAAGTTATATGACCTGTCCCAGATACACATAATCATTTACGTTCTTGATGTTCTCATTTCTAATAATTCACTTCAAATTTACTGTACATATTGAGCTGAAATCCTTATCGTGATTACATCGGGATCGTGATTATTTGCACGACGGTCGAGATATGAGGCTCAGTTACATTGTTGGCTTTTCTCTCGCTTGGCTGCGCTTCTATTGAACAAAGTTTGGACTGGATTGAAATCTTTTTTGTTTATGCTTTGTAGTTATCTTAAAATATATAATACAATGTTTCAAATACTCAGGAAAATTCATACAGTCCCATCTAGACCAAAGTTAAGCTAGCTAAAGCTTGTATTATGAGTACTAGATAACTGATACAAATACCTATATAGGTATTTGTGTCAGTTATATATATATATATATTGTAAATGTGCCGTGCGAGGAATCGTAACCCGCGACCATCGTAAGTAAGGCGGTGTGCTAAAACCCTAGGCCACCAAGGCCGTCGTTCATCAAATCATAATTGCAGTTTAAAGTTTAAGTACACAATTTTAATTATTATAATTTCTATCTGCGGACTTTCTGCTCAACAAGTGTTAATGACATCGTCAAAGTTATGGGATTTCCCGAGCATCTGCAAAGTGTCTCCAGTAATATTATAGTGGTAAAATTTGCATGTTTGTTTATCAGGATAAACTCCGGTTCTGCTAATCCGATTTAAAAAAACATTACTCTACGATCAATAGGAGCGGACCGGTAATGATAACTGTGCAAAAAAAATATTTTAAGTGCTACCGCTGAGTAAACGGTTACCGTTATGCAAAAAGTATAACGAAAAGTTCTTTAAAACTTAGCTCATTATAGCCTTTTTTATGAAAATAAAATATGCGAAAGGAGAATAATAGCGCAGATCAACTCACACAGCGCCATCTAAAAGCAGAGCTTGTGTTATGTGTAAGTACCTACTAGACAACCGATACAAATATTACTTAAATACATTTTATTTTTAACAATTACGTAATAAAAATAGAAAATACCTAGACAAATACAAATTATCATTGTCATGAATACAAATGTTTGCACCGTCCGTGGAAGTAAGGCGTTGTGCTAAACCGCTAGAGCACGAGAGCACTTAGGTATAAGGCGACTGAAAGTCAACTGCCAACTTAATTTCCATCCGCCTTTCTTCTACTTCTTTTAGTTTAAATGGCTTCCACCAAATGTTATAATTAAATATAATTTTGCCAACGTCGTGGTTTGGGAGACACAGTGGTGTGGTTTACGGTTTTCTTGACTGTGTTCGTAGAAAGGACTGTTTCAGTTGGCTGAGAATGCTAAGAATAAAGACAACACAACATATGTTAGCTTACAATTAAAATAGTAGTTGAGTAAAATACAGGTATAATAAAATATATATAACAGGTTGACAGACATGACATAGACAAGGATTTTAAAATGTGGGGAATATATACAAAGGGGGTTATATTTTTATATTATTGACAGCAATAAATTTGGCTAGTATTTTAACTAGAGGGGAGTGGGCCAGTGTTAAAAGAAAAGGAATATTAATAGGTCTGGCAATGTTACGGGGGAGCATATCGTAGAGTGGAACTGACAGGTTTTGACATGTGAAAAATATGTGCTCCAATGTCCCTTCGTCTAGGCCACATTCACAGAGAGAGTGGTCACGAACTCTGATTTTAAAAAAGAAAGTGGGAGTACATATATGTCCTAGTCGGAGGCGGCATATGACTGAAGTAACCCATTTGTCTAGTGAGCGCTGGGAGAAGAACCATGGTTTGGAGGGTATTTCCGGTTGAATGCTTCCATAATACTTTCCTTTTTGCAGTCTCGTTTTTTGCCATAGGTGGTGCCATGCCTGCATCAACTGAGGCTTTGCCTGTGTGTAGATCACGAGCATAACATTTGTTGTGAGTGGTATTGCCCATATTCACCGCTTGTCTGACCCACGAGTCAACTGACTCGTTCCCTATTATTCCCGAGTGGCTAGGAATCCATGCTAGAGCAACAATTATACCAGAGTTATGAGATTTGTAGAGACTTTGACGTATTTCCAAGGATATAATAGAGTTGTTTTTGGCATGGAATGGATACTTCTGGATATCTTGTAAGCAACTTAGAGAGTCTGATAAGATTAGGGTTTTATTAATTTGGTGGGATTCTACGTATAAAAGCTTCTAAAATGGCGATAGATTCTCCAGTAACAATCGATGTGGGAGGAGGATATTTAAAACTGAGCAGTATATTGTATTTAGGGATCCATACTGCAGCGCCAGTGTTGCCGTCATTAGACAACTTGGACGCGTCAGTATAAACGAGAACTCAATCTCTAAAGTATTTCTCTATAATTTTATTAAAATCCTGATTTGCTGTAATACTGTGTTTTTGGATATTAAAGTTTAAATGCACTGTGGGGTGAAAAATTAAGGAATTATAATCATATTCAAAGATAGGGTTGCGATGTGTTCTAATGATTGAGTAAGGCAAGGCTTTAATTGTGTGGAAACTCTTGAGGATTGGTGAAGGGTCCTTACGTGACCAATATGCGGATGTGGAGGCTAGGTCTGACAGGGTTTTTAAGGCTGCGATGGTCGTTGTAATGCTTACCATTTAGGAAGAATCTATCTGAAAGGAATTGTCTGCGAAGTTGGAGGGGAGGATCTACACATTCTACTTGGACTGCGTTATTAGGTGAAGATTTCATTGCACCCAGAACTAATCGTAGGCACCTTGATTGGATTCTGTCAAGTTTTGCCAAGGCAATTTTATTACATGGTTCTAGCAGGAAACATCCGTAATCAAAGTGGCTCCTAACTATAGAGTTGTACAGAAGCTTCTGACTATAGGGATGAGACCCCCAACGAACTCCAGAGAGAGCTTTCAGTACGTTAATTGCACTCTCACACTTATTAGAGATGTAAGTGAGATGATGGAGACCAGAGAGTTTGGAGTCTAGAATGATACCGAGAAATTTAATCTTGTCTTCGGTTTTGATATTCTGACCATTAAGAGAAAGATTTATAGGAGGAATTTGTCTCTTCCGGGTGAATACAACAGCAGTACACTTGGGTATGGAGAGAGCTAGGCCGTGATCCTCTAGCCATTGGTGTAAATACCACAAGGCATTGTTGAGGCCAGAGACAATTCCAGGCAGGGAGTCGGAGGCTAAATATAAGGCAATGTCATCAGCATATTGTAATGTATTGCAGAAGCAGGAAACAGGTGTCTCCAGATCGCAGGTGTAAAGATTAAAAAGGAGGGGGCTCAAGCCGGAGCCCTGAGGAAGGCCTTTCCAGACCAGTCTTGGAGGATGAAGAGAGCCTTGAATGTGCAAAGAGATAGATCTGGCCATAAAGAGATTGCATATGATGCTGGTCAGTCTCGCAGGGATACTCAGCTTTTGCAATTTTTGCCTGAGTATTGGAAGCTGGACATTGTCATACGCAGATGAGACGTCTAGAAAGACGCCTATAAGATGCTGATTTTTGGAGAAGGCAAGTCGGACTTCGTTGATGAGAATACTGAGTCTATCAATAGTTGCTCTTCCACGCCTGAAACTATATTGGCTGTTCGGTAGAAGGTTTTTGTTCTCTAAAATCCACTCAAGCCTATTTTTTAATAAGTGTTCCATGATTTTTGCCAGAACCGACGAGAGAGCAATAGGTCTGTACGAACTGGCATTTCCTGATACAAAGACGGCATTAAATATTTCCAGTAACTTCTTTTTCGCAGAAATAGAGATCCTATGGATGAAGGAGTAAGGAATACCATCTATAGTAGGGGACGAGTCTCTAAGGTGGTCGAGAGCGCAGCACAGCTCCGGGTATGAGAAGGGTTCGTCCATTCTATCATTTGACACAGGAGGGGATGGTATTGAGAGGCAGTCTTGGGAGGAGACGAATGGAGGAGCTAAATTGTTATAGAGATTATTAAGCCATGGCAGAGGGTCATTAGAAGTAGCTTCCACGCTAGTACATCCCTTGCGGAATTAATTTAACTTCTTCCAGACTACTGAAGGATGTGTTCGTGGAGATAATGATTCGCAAAATTTCTGCCATCCTATCTTTTTTTTTTTAGCTAAGAGTCTTCTCGTGCTAGCACAAATTTTGCGAAAAGCCAAATAGTTGTCCATCGTTAAGTTTAGTGCGTATGTGTTTTCGGCATCTTTTCGCTGTTTAACGGATGTGGTGTACTCATTATCCCACCATGGCGGAGAGCAGATTTTATTTATTGTCGAGTTTTTTATGGGAATTGAGTCGTCAGCAGCTGACAGAAGACATGATATAAATTGGTCATAATTTTGCAAAAAGTTGTGATCATTATTTGGAGGGAGGAGAGACAGTTTTTGGTCAAGGAGAGCAGAATACTTTTCCCAGTCAGCGTACGTAGGGGTACGAGCGAAAGTGGAGTTAATTATGGTAATATTTATGGGTAGATGATCACTACCATATGAGTTTGGAAGGATGTGCCAGGTAAGTTTATTTATCAAAGTTGAGGATGCAAGACTAAGGTCAGGGGAGCTCGGGTTTTGGGTAGGGGCAATGCGTCGAGTGGCGGATCCACCATTCAGTACGCAGAGATTCAGGTCATCAAGTAAGTCCAGCAGGAAAGAGAAAACTGGGTCATTAAAATGTGATCCCCACATAGTGTGACGGCAATTAAAATCACCAAGCACAATGAGAGGGGAAGGGATAGTACCTAGGATAGTTTGCAACTCTGAGATGTGAGTATAATTTGGGTGAGGGATATAAATAGACACAAAAGAGATATTGAGTACTCTTACTGCTACAATTTGGAAGCCAGGGCTATGAGAAGGTATGGTAATTTGTGTAAAGGGAAAGGATTTACATACTAATAGGGCGGAACCCGCCCAGCCATCATCCCTGTCATCCCGGAGAACAGCATGACCTGTTACCAGAAATGGAGTGCCAGGTTTTAGCCATGTCTCTGAGATGGCAGTGACAACAGGTTTATAGTGATTAAGAAGGTAAATGAGATCAGACTTCTTGTTTCTGATACTTCTAACGTTCCACTGTAGGACCGACTGGTCCGTTATTAACAATTAACTTTGATAGGAGCTGTTGAACAAGGATAGTGACGTTGGGCGGTAAGGCATCAGAGAATTTGGAGATAATGTTTATTAAGGTGCAAGTAAGTAATTCAATTAAGTTATCATTAGGAGTGGGAAGAGGAGTGGTTTCTATGTACTTCTGGTTGTCTATTAAAGCGCAACCATTTGGTTGTGTAGATTTTGGAGTTTGTGTAATGTTGTTGTGGGCAACTGCATCATAGAATTTGCCGAGAGGAGCATGAGGACGAGGAGAGTTATAAACTGTTTTGCGATAAGATACTGTTTTCTGAGGGGAGGAGTAGGGTGACTGCGGAGAGGGGTGGTCATATAATTGGGCGATAGAAGTCATATCAGCATAGGAGCGCCTAGGGAGAGGGAATCTGGCTGAAGCTTCCATGTGGCTAATGTTATATTCAACCATAACAATTTTAATATTTTTTTGTCTAATGTGTTCAGGGCATATCGAATAAGTGGCTATATGTTTACCATCACATAAAACACAATGGTTGCTCTTCTTTTTTATCACAAGCATCACCAGAGTGTTGACCTTCACATTGGAAACATCTAGGCTGTGTCGGCACTGTTTTTATGTGACCAAACCTGCAGCAGTTACGGCACTGGATGGTAGGGAGATTGTAGGGAGTCACTGGGAGAGAGGTATAGAAACAATAAACTTTTTCAGGAATAATTTGTCCCTCAAAGGTTAGTACTACTGTAGTGGATGGATCCCAGCTAACACTATTGTCTGGTTTACGAGATTTAATATTAAGCTGGCTCTAATAACTTGACCACAACTAGTTGGGGATTTTAAGTTTTCAAGTAGTTCTTCCAATGTCCAGTCTGTTGGAATATTGCGTATGACACCCATCCGGGATACTTGATATTTCGGAATTACTCCACTTTAATTATTATTTGATAAGATTGGGTTACTTACAAAGTTATTGGCGTTAGAGTGGGAAGAGAATTCTACAGAAATTTTGTTTCTACCCAAAGCTTTGATGCCTTCTTCTTTAATTCCAGGAATATTGTGTTTATGAATGAATTGTGTAAACCTAAGAAGTCGGATAGAATATAGCCGGCAGATAGGTACGTCTGGTTCCACTCTACTGACATGAATTGAAAATGGACCTGAGTCTGTAATTCTATATTTGAACTGTGCATCACTTTCAAAACCAGGTTTCGTATAAACTGATTGAATAGAGTTAGAAGGTGATTTTGTTTTTTTTTCATCAATTGCAGGTGTCGAGTCATCTGAAGCTTGACGCTTCCTATTATTAGCAAGCTCGATTGAGGGTTGTGAAAGTTCCACACAGTCCATGGTAATTGGGTAAGAGGTCCCCCACCATCAGGAGGATCTTCGTCTACACCCACCTCCATCGTTTTAATGATGGAGGTGGGTCATACAAAAACAAACACTCACCGAAACCACTCGTTAAACAAATCACAGGACAACACAAAAAGGAATATATACAAACTCAACACAATTTGACGTTTAAAATTAAATAAAGAGTTAAAATTAGCTCGACCACGTGTTTACCCAACCACAGATCGACCAATCAATCCTACTTTTCATTAATAATTTGAATAGAACATTTTAATCAAACCAAAGATGGGTAATATCTATATGGGAACTATTAATTAGGTAATTAAAATATATTCCTTGTTGTAAAAATTAAAGTTTAATGGTTATTGTTTATTAATATATATTACAAGATTCATGTCATTTTCATTTCAAGAATTTGTTGAGTTGCAATTTTAATTATGCCATAAAAATCTTCATGTATATGGGATCGCCAAAATTTAGTTCTACCCCAAACAATTGCTGGATAGTTTGGTGATGAAATTCCTTGAAAAATTCTGGCAATACTACGACCAGTAAAATTACAATCTTTGTATGAAGACATTAATGCTCTAATATCAGATGTTACTCGATTGACGTCCAGTGGTCTTTGTTCAAATGTAATGTCTACTGGTAGAGCCTCATTTCTTTGAAAATATTTCTTTATTATGCATTTAAGTTCATTCGACTTAACATCTAATGAAGTTCCACACGATTGAAGATTCTCGAAGGAATAAAATGCGACGGTAGTAAATGCTTTATATATTTCTTCTACTTGATACAACATGGTTTTCTCCTGAAGAATAACAGATCCATGTATGTCATCTAAAATTGAATCAAGTTCAATTGGGCTCAAGTCTCCTGGAGCCCTTATTTTAAACCCCAGGGTGTTAAGCTCAACTTTTAAAAGAGATCGTTTAGGTACTCCGTCTTCAGTGTTCCATTCTAAATTCTTTAAGTGATATTTAGTCACCCCACTTTCCCAACCAATAGCTGCTGCAACTTCAATTACATTAAACTCTAAAATATTTTTGGCTAAAATGTCTGGGTCTTTTTTGCTTAAAAGCAAATATGCCATTGCAAGAGGGCAACAAATCTTAGCAGCTTCTAAAATTTTATCTGGACCACCATATGATGAAATTCTGCACATAGTATAAGAATTATTAAGTACCTTAATGTATTTTTTATGATGGAGTTCCACATAACATAATAATGTAGATATATTTTCAGGGGATAAATCTAATTCTTCTACTGTACTATCAATTGGTATTCCAACCTCATGTCCTTTACATCTCTTGCTAGTATTTGTGCTTGTAGAAGGAAGTTCTTTTCTTCCATCACTTTGACCACATTTGCATGGCAAAAATACTTTTTGTAGTAATTTTCTTACTGTAGGTCTATCAACACTATTAGCATGGATATGTTTAAGAAGTTCATTTTTATCATTATTACTGTCATTCATAAATACATGGCAATAAGCATTCTGTCCATCACGCCCTGCACGACCTACTTCTTGAACATAGGACTCAAAACTACTTGGCATGTTGTAATGTATAATACATCTAATGTTTGATTTATTTATTCCCATACCAAAAGCTACTGTTGCAACTATAATTTTTAATGTACCATCCATAAAATGTTTTTGAATTTTTTTCCTTTGTGCTCCAGACATTCCAGCGTGATATGCTTCAACAATATAGGACATTCTTTTTCGTTTATGCTGTCGTTCCATATCAAGTTTATTAGGTTCTTGAAGACATGATCTAAGTAAGGCAGCAACTCTTTCACATTCATCCCTTCTTATGCAATACACAATAATAGAATTAGAATAACAAATTTCTTTTGATTTAAGATAAGCTACTAGAGCTTGATCTTTATTTTTTTCAAAAGAAACTGATAAACATAGATTATCTGGTAATGTTGGATTTGTTATAACACCAGTTATATCATCAGGTATATTTATGTGACTAATTATACTTCTGACTGTTTGTTGACTAGCAGTGGCTGTCAGACCCAGAATACATTTCACATTGAGTTTTTCTTGCAACACTCTACATATCATTAAATAACTGGGCCTAAAATTATGACTCCATTGTGAAACACAATGTACTTCATCAATACAGGCAAAGGCTATTTGGGGTAATGATTTAAAGATTCCTGAGAAACCAGTAGATGATTCTACAGATACCAAAGCTTCAGGAGATATCAGAAGAACATTAATTTCTTGATTTTTTAAACATTGTATTATTTTTTGACGTTGACTAGGGGGCTGGTTTGTATGTAAACAACCAGCCTTTAAGAATTCAGGCATACTAAGTACTTGATCCTCCATTAATGAAACTAATGGTGAAATCACTAAAGTTATACATTTATAATATTGACTATAGATGTAAGCAGGAAGCTGATAACAAAGTGATTTACCACCTCCTGTTGATAATATTAACAATGTTGACATGCCACTTAAAATCCTTTTGATTGTTTCTTCTTGACCAGAACGAAATCTTTCATGTCCAAATTTTTGGAGGGTTTCATATAATTCTGTTGGAGTTTCTAAACTATCATATGTGTAGATTGGTTTAACATTAGTATGAATATCTTCAGTAGCAGCCAGTACATTCAGGACAGATTCTGGAATTTTACTAGATTTATAAATTGATAAACTTAGCTGATCTGAAAGAGACATATTGTTTGTTTCCTTATCTATAATATCTTGCATGTTTTCTAAAGATGGTAATGTGTTTTCATCATATTTATGTAAAGGTAAAAGTGTATCTCCTATGTGTGCAGTACAGTATCTTGCCATGTGGCCAGGTAACCCACATTTAAAACATTTCATTTTACCACACTCTGGAAATTCCATACCACCATGAAGTGCTTTTTTATCCTTCCATTGTTGTTTTTTATATTTTGAATAATTGATGTTCTTTTTACCTCTAACAAATACTTTCTTTTCAATATTAATTTTCACATAATTCTCATTTAAGGTCCCACTTTTAATTTTATTAAGAATTTCTCTTTCATTGTTTTCTTTAGCATCATATGAGGTTTCAGATTTATTTTCTATCACTACATCAGTGGAAAATGTATTTAAAATATTTGTAATATCACTATGACGTGGAACAATATCCTTCTCTAAACCAAAAGGTAAAAACTCTGCTATGGATGGTGGTTGTTGTTCGCTGCATTCAGCAGTCATTTTTTGTGACTTTCTATGTTTTGATATAGTTTTTGTTTTCTTATCTGAACTTACAACACAGTGTGACGGTTCACTAGCAGCTTGATCATGCATTCCTACTTGATTAATTTTTTCTTTTGAATTTACAGCATTGTCTAGTTTTCTTTTCTTGAGAGCAGGTTTTAACTTACTGATTAATATATTATCATCCCCTTCAGATTCACTATTTTCAATATAATCAATAGGTTTATCATTCAGTTTTGCAACTTTTACATTACTTAATCCAAATTCTGCTTTTGTATTAGTGTCCGTTGCTTCTTTTTGAGATATAGTAAGCCCAGTTGCCCGTTTGAACCATGCCTCATCAACTTGTCTCAGTTTTGGTACTAATTCCATCATATTATTCATGCTAGTGAACAAGTTTAATGCTGTGCATGTGGAACTACTACCAAAAGTAAATGTATCATTAGTTTGGTCCTTTTCCTCTGCTATAAAAACATCAGTGCCTGTTTCATTGTTAGTTTTTTCGATAATACTATTCTCTATATCTGTTATAGATCGATTTTTTGAAATGGATATTTTTCTTGGATTTCTTAGGGAAAACTTTTTAGATTGAAATATTTTTTTTGATACATTATCAACAAATGTACTATGATTTTCCAAACTTTTTGATTTCGTGTGTTCATGGTTTGATAAAAGTTGTTCTAGTTCTTGACCTGTGGGCAAATCCGGTAGTAACTCAGATTGAGGATGTGAAAACTCATAAGTATTTTCTAAATTCCGAACTTTCTCCGGCGATTGACTTATTATGGACTCTTCTTCGAAATCACATACTGCTAAAGAAGTTTCTAGAGCTGAACTTTTCAACTGAAAATATTTTTTATACGCATACTTTATTTTAGCTGGAGCTTCTTTAATGTCCAATTTGGACGGCGTGCGGGCATGTTTTGTTTTAAAGTCTTTTTCCCAAGTTTTCACGGTATGTTTACATTTCAGATACACTTTGTCTTTATTAATAAAATCCATATTAAATAGGAATAGTTTTTAGAGTATTAAAAATAAATTACATAAATAAGCGTTCAGCCAAAACTGTACTATACAGAGAACATAAACGCACAGATCAGGAAGACTGAGAAAGATTTATCAACAGAACCAGGGTGGCAAACTTTAAAAACTCTTAGCTTCCTACAAAGAAATTAAAATTAAGAGACAGATAAAATTTACATCTAAAATTAAATTTTAAATAAGATTATTAAAGTAAATAAATATTAAATTTTCAAATGATAACGGGGTAGTGGTGTACCTGCGATACTGATTTATTTAATCGGAAACTTTTATTTTAACATATTGTAAAGTATATTATTATCAGTAATTTTAATATATTATAGTTTTAAAGCTTTAAATGACATTTTCACAACAGAATTTTATAATTTATGTACATATACTAATGTTTCCAGAACCGTTGTCGTATTATACAGCATAAAAATACAATTTTGTCTTTACTGTACAAATATAAATTTTTGCAGTATTACTACTACTAACATTTTATACTAACTAACATTTTTTTCTTGCATACAGCTAAATATTTTAAATAGATGTTGTTTTATGATATATGACACTATAAAAAGGTCATTTTTATAAAAAGATAGTCAGGAGCCTTCCTGACTATCTTTTTATAAAAATGACCTTTTTATAGTGTCATATATCATAAAACAACATCTATTTAAAATATTTAGCTGTATGCAAGAACTATGACCGCCGAATAAGAAACAACTCTTACGCAGGGCAGTTCAACAGCAGGCCTTAAACAGTCCTGCTTAAAATCGTACCATGACGTCAAATTAGGTGAACTGTTTAAGAATTGTTTAGTAATATGGTGAACGCAATGTTGTCTCTGGCCTGTTAGCTTTTAACCGGGAAAAATTAAAAAGTTAAATTCTCCTATATTTATAATTACTGATATAAGCAAAAAATATTTTAATAATATTAATAATTTTTCAATGAAATATCAATTGTTATTTCAAACAATCGTACAATAAGAATTTCACATTATGAAACGCTTTAGAATATGAATACATGACAAAAAAGAAGTGCAAAAAAATGTTTTGGTTTTCAAGTGCTCGACAGGATTTCATCCAAAGTTTTTATTTAAAATTTGATGCCTTAAGAGCTAAATATAAATGACTATAATTTAAAACAAGATTGTGTTGAGCTTCCATTTGTGTTAAGGGTATTTCCGTGAAAATAAATACATAATTTTGTAAGTGCCAATATTTTCCATTGATTAATAAAATTCTTAACTTTTTAAAGGAATATATTGAATAAAAATTACTTAATCAAACAAAAAATATACCATGAGTTTCTATGCTCTCTACAATGTTATTGTTATATTAGAAATAATATTCTTTATGATCATAGTTTTAGAAGTTCAGCAAAATAGACGAGTTTACATTCAACTACATTTGTGGGAATTTCTGAATTAATATAAGAATGCATCTGATTCGAAATATATGTGGCTAAGAGTAGCTTCTTAATTGAAGGTTAGGTGAAGTTAATAGTTAAGAGATACCTTAGAATATACTATTTCTAAATTCTTTATTTATGGTGTTTATAAACAAATCTTCTAGTATTATAAGTTAATAGCCAAGGGATCTGTTAAATCTGTACCTGATTGGTATAAGGCATGAAAATCCTAATGAGAGATACCTTAGACTATTCTTATTATTAGTTAAAAAAAATGTAATGACTAATTAAAAGTGCTTCAATGTAAGTTTATTTGAATAAATGATTTTCTATTCTATTTCTAAATCCTTTAATTATGGTGTTTATAAACAAACCTTCTAGTATTTATTGTGTGAATTTGAAGGGGAAAATAAAAGACCGATTCGCCTCATAAGAGATGCCAGGTGTAGGCCTGTAATAGGTGAGGAATTATCAGAAACTGAACTGAAGTTTCTCACCATATTAAGTGAAAATGTATCCTGGTGTATAACCATTTGCAACTGAGGCAAATGCTGTATTTCACTTGACTTAGAACTTATAATACCTGTATTTATTACACTGTTTTTTTAAATAATTGTAAGGTTAAAATTAGATGTATATATAACATAGAATTTTATTTCTTAGGTTCTACAGCTAGACGCTCCTATTAAAGCTTGCTCTTCACAAAACATGACCAGTGAGGAAGGAAATGGAAAGGAGATTTGACTGGACATTAATTTGGAAGGTAGGTGAGTAATAAAGTGATACAATGATACATATTTTTTATTCTCAATACAAGTTTCATAGTTATTCATAGTTAATTTATACATTTCTTTTTTTATATAATACAAATTATAGAGTTATATATATCATGTGTTTCTTCTTAACTAAACACAATAGCAAAACCTAAAATGAATAATGAAAGAAATATTTAGACAAAGAGAAAAGTATATAGAGCACTAAATCATATATGAAATCATTAAGCAAATGATATGTATTGTATTCTAAGTAATTATTTAAAATAATTTGTTTCAGTAGCCTGCTGAAAAGTCCAGATGTGAGCAACTTGTAATTCAGGATTTTGCTGCCCTACTGATTCTTGAAGAGATATTACAGATGGTTACATCAAAGCCTGTTGTTGAAACTCCTCTGTGGACTTGTAATAAAGATATTTGTTTTAATATATCTATTATTTTTAATAATTATACCACTAAAATTTTGATTTTAATGTCTCCATTAATAGTACCTAAAATCCATATTGCCTCAGTTGTAGTTTCCAAGTGTGATCATAGCAGTTGATAATTCCAAATAAAGGAATCATGGCATGCTCCTGGATGATTAGCAACCACACTAATATTTTGACCAGTATTACAAATCTGTAAAAACAATATATTACACATTAATATGTTGTATGTTATAAATATTTATCACATAGAGTGTATCTCTTTAAAGTGCGAAATGCATTATCCTACTTATAAATAATCATAAATAACAATACATATTATAAATTATTAGGCGTGTGGTGTCGCTGTAAGAATAGCACCACCCCCTCTCTTCCCGTGGGTGTTGTAAAAGGCGACTAAGGGATTCATCGACCAGTGGACGGGCAGCAGCGTTCTACTGAGTAACTACCATCATACTGCGATCGCCAACCCGCATGCCAAGCATGGCAATATCCCCCCAAATGGATTTACACCCAAGGCCCCGGCCCCCAGTCCCCGGCGGCCCCGCTAGTCTTGACCATGGTAGCGGTCATGGAAACGGCGGGACAGGGGGTGCGAAGAATCTCCGGGTAAGACCAGGCTACCACAAACGACGACCACTGGCCCTGGCAACATACAACGTTCAAACACTGCGGACCGACGAAAAGTTAACTGAACTGGAGGAAGAGTTGAGCAGACTGCACTGGCATGTCGTGGGATTATCTGAAGTCCGAAGAAAGGGGGAGGACTCGATAGTCCTGAAATCCGGCAATCTGCTTTACTTCCGGGAGGGCGATCAACTGTCCCAAGGCGGTGTCGGGTTCCTCGTCTACAAGTCCCTTGTGAATAATGTTATCAAGGTCGAGAGCGTGTCGACTATGGTAGCGTACCTGATACTCAGAATTACCAAACGGTATTCATTGAAGGTTATACAAGTGTACGCTCCAACTTCGACGCACTCCGACGATGAGGTTGAGGCTATGTATGAGGATATCTCCAGAGCCATACATAGTACAAAGACTCATTATAACGTTATCATGGGGGACTTTAACGCAAAATTGGGTAAACGAAGCGGTGATGAGCTGAGAGTGGGGCAATTTGGTATCGGTGATCGGAACTTCCGAGATCAAGTGCTGGCCGACTTCATGGAGAAGGAGAACCTCTTTATGATGAACTCCTTCTTCAGGAAGCCGGAACACCGGAAATGGACGTGGATTAGTCCCGATGGTGCCACAAAAAACGAGATAGATTTCATCTTGTCAACGAGAAGACAGATTTTCAATGATGTCTCTGTGATCAATGCCGTCAAAATTGGAAGTGATCACCGGATTGTAAGAGGCACATTGAATCTGAATCTGAAACTCGAACGATCCCGATTGATGAAATCTACGCTCCGCCCTACACCTATACAGATCCAAAACCCCGAAAGCTTTCAGCTAGAATTGCAAAACCGTTTCGAAAGCCTTGGTGACTGCGTTGACGTGGACGATTACAACAACAGGTTCGTGGAAACTGTCCGTGCGGCTGGGTCTAAGCACTTCAAAACCCGCCGCGCAGAAAGAACCGGAAAAATATCTATCTCTACCCTCAAATTGATGGATGAAAGGCGAAGTATGGTCCTGCAGTCTCCGACTGACGTTTCCCAGTATCGGCAACTTAGCAGCAGATCTCTAAGTCCTTGACTCGTGACTTACGCTACTTTAACACAAATTGTGTAAAAGAGGCTATTGAGAGAAACAAGGGCTCAAAAGTCTTCAATCGTCGAATCCAACTCGGATGGGCAGCGTTCGGGAAGCTCCGATATATCTTTTCGTCCAAATTTCCGCAGTGTCTCAAGACGAAGGTTTACGACCAATGTGTGTTGCCAGTGATGACTTACGGAACAGAGACGTGGTCGCTAACTATGGGCCCCATCAACAAGCTCAGAGTCACTCAGAGGGCAATGGAGAGGGCTATGCTCGGAGTTACTCTGCGTGATCGAATCAGAAATGAGGAGATCCGCAGAAGAACCAGAGTGACCGACATAGCCCGAAGAATTGCGACTTTGACGTGGCAATGGGCAGGGCACATAGCTCGTAGGACAGATGGCCGTTGGGGCAGTAAAGTCCTCGAGTGGCGACCACGGACCGGAAGACGCAGCGTGGGAAGGCCTCCAGCAAGGTGGACCGACGATCTGGTCAAGATCGCTGGAAGGCATTGGATGCGAGCAGCGCAGGACCGATCGTCGTGGAGATCTTTGGGGGAGGCCTATGTCCAGCAGTGGACGTCTTCCGGGCTGCGATGATGATGATGACATATTATAAAATGTTAATGGTCAGTTAACATTGTATATTATGTATTATTATAATTTAAGATACTATGATATAAGGGCAGTGACTGATTCAATATAGAGAAGAAAAGTATTGGACAGAGAAGTATAGAGTGCTATTAGAGGACTGTGACTTATGACATGCTAATTAACTGAGGTATTGAAATATTTATAAACAAGAACAAAATTAACTTATCTATTACAATAATGGTTATAAAATACAATTTTATTAATTTAAAAAAATAATAATAATAATCTCAGGACAATTCACACAGCGCCACCTAGACCCAAGTTAAGCTAGCTAAAGCTTGTGTTATGGGTACTAGACAACTGATACAAATACATAGATTTTTTTTTTTTTCGTAAAAACATACATATTATACATAGAAAATACCCAGACCGATACAAACAATCATATTCATGAATACAAATGTTTGTGCCGTGCGAGGAATCGAACCCGCGACCATCGGACGTAAAGCGGTGTGCTAGACCGCTAGACCACTGAGGTCGTCGAATATGATGATTTAAAGTATAAAACTTAAGTGCATACTATATCTATGTGTGTATAATATATGTAACTTTCAGCAAAATTGCATATAGTTGTGAGAAGGCATTGAGACATATACAGCGCGTTCAAAATTCTTGTGCAAGATTTTGTTTTCCGATACCTCGCAGAGCCCACGTATCACCATATTTAAATAGTAAAGACCTTATGAGTATGGAAACACAGCGTAAACTACACTTTGCCAGCTTACTATTTGAAGTTGTAAAAAAAAAGATTCCCGAATATCTTTACGAAAAATTGAATTTCAGTAGTCGTCATTCACGCGGCGTTCATTTGATGTGCCAAGTTCTTGTATGTGTATCCCCAACACAGGTAAGAACGATCCCCAAACATGAAACCTGGATCGTGGTTCCTAGGTGTAAAAAATTTCATACCAAATTCGTTATTTTAAGAAACTCCATATTTTCATATATTGTTCGTAACATTATTATAACTTGCGCTGCTCATTGCCAGACACTTAGTGTGGTTCCAACCCCCCTAAACTATACTATTTTATAAATAAACTTACGTCATTTTAATATAGCTGAACTTTATATATATTATTGAGAGAACTATTAAACTGATCTTTCTTGGTTCCTTATCCTACCAGACTCATTGAAACCGTATAAGAAAACTGTCTGGCAATTTAGGAAACTCAGTTTAATAGTTCTCTCAATAATATATATAAAGTTCAGCTTTATTAAAATGACGTAAGTTTATTTATAAAATAGTATAGTTTAGGGGGGTCCGGCGGGGGGTTGGAACCACACTAAGTGTCTGGCAATGAGCAGCGCAAGTTATAATAATGCTACGAACAATATATGAAAATATGGAGTTTCTTAAAATAACGAATTTGATATGAAATTTTTTACACCTAGGAACCACGATCCAGGTTTCATGTTTGGGGATCGTTCTTACCTGTGTTGGGGTTACACATACAAGAACTTTCACGTTTACTAATATAACGTATGTCTGGTCGTCGTGGGCTCTTGCTCTATTATATGTGTTGCTTTACTATACCATGTGCGCTGTAGCATGCTGGCAAATGACAGTTTGATTAACATTTTGTCGGATGTAAATAATTACGAAACCTTTTATATAAACACAATTTATTTTGTATCGCGGCTGAATTGAAATTCATATGTTTAATTCTCTTAAATTTCTTCCATTATTATTTCTTTGATTGCCACACATTCTTATAGTATTCTATTGTAGTGTATGTGGAAACACTAGCAGTTTATTATCTATCGTCTCGAGCCGAGCGTACACGGGCCGCCGTGCGCAAGAGGGGAGGGATTCCCTGCGCAAGCGCCGCGGAGTAAAGACGTGGAGCTGTGTCTAACGAGCCGATATTATGTCGATAACAACTTACATACAAAAGACATAAATAACAAATAAGTGAACACAAATCTATAATACCATTACAGACCAATTCTACTTGACATTAATCCGATTTGCGTCAGCTTGCCTGTTCAGAAGATTTTTGTAGAGTAATCCTTACTAATCCTTATTTCCTTACTAATATAAATGCGAAAGTAACTGTCTGTCTGTCTGTCTCGCTTTCATGCCAAAACTACTCAACCGATTTAAATTAAATTTGGTACACTGATCACAGAACACCAATATCCTAACACTGATAGTCTAGACCCTGAGAAAGGATATAGGTTACTTTTTAATACGAAAAAAGGGTTCTAAGGGGCTGAAATTGGGGATGAAAGATTGTATGGAAGAGTCGTCATTTTTGAAATTAGAAGATTGAAGCTTATTTTTTAGGCTGTTAATTAAATATAAATAAATGACATTAAAAATTTGTAAAAATGTTACCCTTAAGGGGGTAAAATAAAATAGGGGATGAAAGTTTTTATGTAAATTCGTCATTTTTGAAGCTTGAAACTTATTTCTGTTCATTAAATATAAATGAATATGTGTTAGCTTCAATATTATTAATATTCAATAATAATATAATAATAATTTAACAACAATCGGTTGACTAATTTGTTACTTATTTTAAAATCACTAGTATCCTGACGACTTAGGCGTAATGCCGGTTAGTCAGGGAGAGAAACACCT